ATATAATCGTTTTTAATTAACGTGCGGATCATTTCACAGGCTGATCTCCTTGGAGACCAGAGGGAAGACGGTCTTTTAAGATTTTCTTTTGCCTCCCCCCGTTCCCAGTTGAAGGCTGCCCCCCCCCCCTTCACCCACCCAGCCGCAACCTTGAAAGCAGCACAAAAGCCTGCTGCCTGGATCCCTCTTGGGGCCATTAGGAGGAAAGTGTGTGCTCACACACAGACAAACATGCACGTGCCCAAGCTCAGGGGCACGCTCTCCCCCCGCCGGAAATGCACAAATGGGATCAGAGACTCAGAGACATATGCACACACCCACGGACATGGCACACACAGGGCTACACACAGATTCGCACACACACACAGACGTGCGTGCATGCACACGTGCCCAAGCTGGAAGACACACAGACCCCTTAAAAAACATACAAATAGGGTCCAAGGCAGACAGACATGGCACGCGCACACACACACACACACACACACACACACGCACGCAGAGGCTGGCAGGCAAATCCACCCCCATACAAATAGGATCAGACACACAGACATGCACACACAGGCATGCATGGATGTGTACACATGCACGGGGACATGTCCAAGCACAGAGATGCACCACAGAAATGCCCAAATAACCGACGCTCATGGGAGGGTTGTTCTGAACCTCGGTGGCCAGCTGGCGTGCTGGCAGTGGGGAAACAGAAGGTTCCTATCCTTCGATGGGAAGTCAGAGCCACAATCACCTTGTCCCCTAGGAGTGCCCATTGCCCCAGCCCCCTCCCTGGTGCCCTGCCACCTGCCCTGCAGGGAAACCCAGGAACAGAAGCCTCCCAGGTCTTGCCTCCCTGCTACGCACCTGGTCTGGATCCTTCTGATCCCAGAGCCCGGCTAACAGCTGTTTCACTCAGCCCTCACAGAGCCCACCCCAGAACATCCAGCCTTTCCTGGCGGTCCAGCGCTGGCTAGCCCTGACACCTGCCCTGGGAGTGATGTCCCCCAGTCTGTCCTCTGGGTGCCCTCTTCTTCTCTTCTTCATTTTCATTCTCCTCCTTCCTGAGCTCCCCTCCCTCTTTTCTAATCCCTCCCTCACTGATCTCCCCTTCAGTTCCTTTCTCTCCCCCCCCCTTCCCCCCCCCCCCCCTTCCCCCCCCGGGGCGCTCCTGAGGAGACCCAGAGCTTGGTCTTTGGACAAGTAAGCCGAGGCACAGGGGTAAGGGCACGACCACTGGGATCCTCTGACAGGAGCCCCACTCCTCTCACTGCACCTGCTTTGGATCCTCGACTTCTCCTTCTGGAAAATGGGATGGCAGAGAGCAAGGAGGAGTTTTGAGGAGGGGCAACACGGGAGCCCCCGGCTGGCCACCCACAGGCTAGCAACTTTGGTGACCCCAGATCCTGTGGGCAGGGCCAGTGTATGTGACACAGAAAGTATGTGACAGGCTTAGGAGCCTATCTGTTGCTCCAGCTGGCCATTGATGCCAGGGGCAAGCTGGGGGCTTCTCCTCTCTTGGATTCTCAGTGCCCCCACACCTGCAATCTTTGAAATGGGACAAGGTCAGCCTAAAAGATCCCTGGGAACTCCTCCCACACGTAGAAACCAAAATGACAGATCACTAGTTGGTTCCTGGCTGCTGCAAGGCCCAGCGACTGCGGTGTGACCTTGGGACTCACATCCCCTCTCTGGGCCCCCGGTTTCCTCCTCTGTCAAAGGAGGGGGCTCAGACAGGTGATTCACTGCCCAGGCTCTTTTCAGTTCTGACAGAAGGTTCTAGGTTGTGAGGAAGGAAGGGGAATAGTGCCCCACTTCTGGGAAAACGAGAAGCCCATTTCTTCCACTGCAGAAATGTCGGAATCTTCAGCAACAGCAACGTCATTTTGAGAAAATCATCTTAAACATCACAAAAAAGTGCTCTGTGCAAAATATATTCACTACCTCATGCATCAGGAGCATCCGGAATGTTGAACAAAAGGGGAATAGTAAGTAAATGATGGTACATCCACCCGATTGGAAAAGCCTGAAGATATTAACCATGGTGTTTATGAACAGTTGGTTACAAAACAGGAAAAGGCTCCTGTTAGGGCCAACCAAGAAAGCAGGATATACATCTGAATACAGAGAATGGCTACAAAGTCTTTTAAAAAAAACAAACCAACCACCAAGTCTGTAAAGAGCATCAAAATATTAACATTGTCGTAGCCCACTGTCAGTAACCTTGTTTCTTTCTCTAGATCTCAGATGGTTCTCTGAACCATATTGTAACATGTGTATATATTGAAAAGGTTTTTTTTTTTTTAATGACTACATGTCTGCTATTGAGAAACTTTCCCCTTTCATTCATGTATTCATTCATTCATCATTGATTCATTCACTCTTGTGTTTGTCCAGCCAAAGCGGAGTGCCCATGGTGTGCCAGGCCCAGGGCTCTAAGATCTGCAGGGAATACTTCTCACCTGCAGGAAACAAATGCGTGGGCGGGGGGGGGGGGGCGGGAGGGGGGCAGACACACTCCCAAAAGGGGGCCCGGGGGGGTAGGGAGCAGAAATCAATCTTGCAGGTTTCAGCCCTGCCTCCCCCTGGCCTCCACCAGGCCTGCCCTCAGCTCCTAGGGTCTCCTAGCCCAGCCCACGGGTCAGGAACTCACCCTTAGCCGCCAACCATCCAGCTGTGGGTGGTTTAAGGGTCAAGGTGGGGAGCAGGGCAAAGACCAACCCCTTAGCCCACATGGTGATTCTACTTCAAGTTCCCATAACCCTGGCGCATGGTGGCTACCCGGCTGCTGTACCCTCCCTGGGCTCTGATTTCTGCTTCCCTTGAACAAGGCACCACCCAGCCAGGCCCTGTCCCGCTGCCTGAGGCTGCTGAGAAGGGAAGCAGAGTATGGAATCTGCTAGCTCCTGTCAGCCAGTGTCACGCTGTTAGCACGTCAAAGGGTCCCACAGTGTGTCCCTGCTGTGTGGGGGCTGACAGATTTCTGGGAAGGGTTAACTCTTGATATTCCTGAACCAAGCCACAGAACAGCCTGAAAACAGTCTGCCACCCCCCCCACCCCCACCCAAGGTGCCTTCCCTCCCCCGCCCCGCCCCCCTGCCCAGAAGTCCTCTCTTTAACTAGGCAGAAGGGTTTCTTTCCCAGGCCTGGGTTGCCAGCCTGGGGTCCCCGGGCCTCCCTACTCCGGGAAGGAGGAGCCCAGGAAGCTCGCCTGGGAATCAATTGGGGCAGATTTCCATGGACTCTTCTCGGCCCCTAGTCCTGTTCCAACTAGCCTTTCACCCGATCCACACCTTCCCCCCCAGAGCAAAAGGATCTGGGCGCTTGGAGTGACGAGAAGCTTCTGACCCCAAGACCCCTACTTTGCGTTGAGCACACCCTCACAGGCCTGCGGTCCCCAGAAATTCTCCGGTCTAGAACTCCCCTCCCATGGCCCCAGTGGGAAAAGGAGAAGTTCCCACCACTCCCCTCCCCCTTTCTTCCCCTCCCCTCCCCCCTCCCCGCCCCCGGGAGGGAGCGAGGCGTCCGGATCTCCGGGTCACCGGAGCGGTGTCTGCTGTGGATCGCAGGAGACAAACACTCCGTCACTCTCTCTCTGTCTCTCTCTCTCTGTCTCTCTCTCACACACACACATACACACACACACACACACACACACACACACACACACACACAATCACCCTCGGGATCACCTCTGAAGCCCGCATTGTACGGGGAGGGGAGGAGGCCGAGTTGCAGGGAGGAGGTTGGGGGGGGGGCGTCCGACGTGCCTGAAGTCACCAGCCAATCAACAAATCCAAGAGGGTCTAGAATCCACGACCCCAGGCCGGGCCGAGAACCCCACCTCACCCCCGCCCCCTCCCCCAGCACAGCACCATCCGACGTCCACGTCTCTAACCCAAACAAGCCCCTCCCCCAAGAAGTCCTCCCTCCCCCTCCCCCTGCTCCGGGTCACCAGCCCCCAGAGAGACCCAGCTACGACCCCCACCCCCGACGGCAAGGCGCGAGATTTCATTGTCAGCCTGGCCACTCAGGCGCGCGTGAGGCGGGGGTGCAGGGCAGGGGGGCCTGTGTGGCAGGCTTCGGCGCGGGGAGTGGGGAGGGGTCTCCAGGGGAAGTGTTTGAAGCTGCTCCTCCAGCTCTGTCCAGATCCGGAAGCTGCCGGGGGAGGGAGGAAGGCGGGGGTGGGGAGAGCGCGACCTTAAGCGCTCGCAGGCGGCAAGGAGGGGCCGCGGCGGCCGGAGGAAGCGCCCGGAGGCGTCGGGGGCGCCGAGTCCCCGGGGAGGCAGCGCTCTCGGGAAGTTTCCCACCGGTTGCCTGGAGCAGGACAGGGTGCGCAGACGGCCCTCCCCGGCCTGACCGGCTCCAGCGCGCAAACTGCGAACTTGAGCAAAACTCCTTCGTCTCTGGCGTCCCTCACCTTCCCATCCGCGGCCACCAGCCCCGCCATCTCAGCCCCCTGTCGTCCACCAGTGCCACAGTCGCCAAGACCTCTCACCAATGTATTGTGGAAGAAAGGGGAGGGGGAAGTCCCCAACACAACCGAACTGCGGCCACACACACAAAAAAAGAAAGAAAAAAAAAAAAAAGAAAAGAAAAAGAAAAAGAAACAAACAAAAAAGGAAAGAAAGAAATTCCTTCTCCTGAGACCGATTCCCTCAACCAGCGTGGAAAACCCCCAAAGAGGCAAATCTGCAACTCCAGCCAAGATCGCGGCGCGGCGGGAGGGGTGCCCGCGGCCGGCGGCCACCAGCGTCGGCAGCCCCGGGTTTGGGGCAGGTCTGAGCGCGGCGGCGTCCCGGGGGCTCCGGGAGCCCTCGTGCCCCGGAACGGCCCCCCGAAGACACAAAGCTCTGCCGCCAACAATACCTGCGGGTTCCTCCTGGATCTCCCGGGCGCCGGCGCTGCGCGTCTCGCCGTCTCCCCTTCCCCGCGCCGTCTCTCTCCTCCTCCTCCTCCTCTCGCGCGCGCTCTCCCCCTCGCCTCTTCCAGAACGCGGCGGCCAGATGAGATCCTTGGGAGAAAAAAATGTGAGCGCTCGCACGATTCCTTTCTCTCCGCCCGCCGCTCGCGGCGGCACCGGGCTCGCTCCTTTCTCCCTCGCGCTCCCGCGCGCGCCGCGCCTCTCGCGCCCCGCGTTTCCTTCTCAGCAGCCCCTGCGAGCGCCCTCAGTAGCCATTATTCACGGGCCACCGGAGGACAGGAGGTAATTAGAGACCGCCCCGTGGCCGCATCCACTCTGCAAGCGCGATGCGGGCTCGGGGTGCGCGCGGGGAGGGGCGCGCGACGAGGGGGCTTGGCTGCGCGCAGCCCGCGCCCCAGACGCGGGGGAGGGGGAGGAGGAGGAGGGGGCAGGGAGGGAGGAGGCGAGGGGAGGAGTGGTGAGCTCGGGTAGGGAGCGGGAGGAGGGGGCGCCGGGGAGACGCTCCCGCGGCTCTCACCGCGGGGGCTCGGGGTCACCGGCTAGGAGGCTCCAAGGCGCTTAGGGACCGGGGGTGGGGGTGAGTGTGTGTGTGTGTGTGTGTGTGTGTGTGTGT